TCTTAGGTCTGCATTTTTAACTGAACCAACGATTTGTCTTTTCTGGACTTGCCTGGGGATCTGAACAAAGTTCTCTGAATTTTGCAAAAACAGTTCTTGGCTCTGAAAAAGGTAGCAAAATGCATATGAAATGCATATTTTGCAGCATTATAGTTTTATTGTGGTATAAAAATCTTGCTAAATAAAATAACAGCAATAAGTACACAATAAAAAACTCTAAGCAGTTTACATAAAATAGTATAAAATATTCATTAAAATAGCAATAAAAACAGACCTTAAAAACAGACATAATAAAATTATCAAAATATTGATAAACTCACGGGTTTTAAAAAATAAACTTACATAATAAAATTACATGCTTATGTAGGCTGCCCTGAACAAAAAACTTTTAAGCAGGCATCAAACATTTCATTGTGCATTTTATATCTGAATTTCATGTAACCTTGTATTGCTTTGGCAACAAAGAACAATAAGAAATATTTTTTTTAAAAAAACACACACCTGAATTTAAAATATCTTTAAAGATAATTTGAATTATCCTGGATATTTTTTTTAATGCAGTTTTGAAATCTCTTAATAGCAATAAAGTTACAGTTGCCCATCTATATAGTCTAACACTTTAACTCCAAAGCATTTTGGTCTGCAATGTCTACTTAAGGAGGAAAAATAATTGCAGAATGATATGGAAACATAATGGAAAAGAGATGCGTATGCAGAACTGACCTGTCCAACTCTCGAGGATAGTGAGCAACTCGCTTTGGGTGCTCTGACCAGCTGTGCACTGGCAGCAAACTTCCTCCAAGTGCTTCTGACTTTCGGAAAACTGAAATATCATTGGGGCTGATGAAGCTGTGAGCTGAGGTGCAAGTTGTGAATGCTGCGCTTAGAAGTTTGCCCGAGTCGCTTGAGTCTCAGAAGAAGGAACTGGTTCCCTTCTCCCCTGGAGGGGTGTAATCAGAGGGCTTCACAAGGGGCTCCTATTAGGATTCCTCAAGAGGAATCTGTAGATACCAAAGACAAGGGGTCAGCAAACTTTTTCAGCAGGGGGCCAGTCCACTGTCCCTCAGACCTTGTGGGGGGCTGGACTATATTTTGAAGAAAAAAAAGAACGAATTCCTATGCCCCACCAATAACCCAGAGATGCATCTTAAATAAAAGGACACATTCTAGTCATGTAAAAACACACTGACTCCCGGACTGTCCACAGGCCGGATTGAGAAGGCGATTGGGCCAGATCCGGCCCCCGGGCCTTAGGTTGCCTACCCATGCCAAAGACCCTTCTGGTTCGCCCCTAATTGAGAGCACTTCAATTTTAGGATGTTTCTGAAAACATCATCAAATGATGTGCGTGTGCCTGTGGTGGTGCTGGTGGAGGTTGGGCCATTCCTAAATACTGGAGGGTGAGGAACCCTGACCTGAGCAGGTTTAGAATGAGGTGCACTGATTTCCTTCAAAACGTTTGGAAGAGTGCAGCGTATAGGACAGTGTTTTTCAACCACTGTTCCGTGGCACACTAGTGTGCCGCGAGATGTTGCCTGGTGTGCCATGGGAAAAATTGAAAAATTCGAAAGATTTAAAAATAAAGTATTTTATAATTTTTCATATTTCTGTTTACTTACTATTTCATAATAAAGTAATTATAAAATACTTTCTTTGTGTTTATTTGATTCCTATTCAAGAGAATTACTTTATATATAGTCAATATAGGCACAGAGTTAAATTTTTTAACATTTTCTAATGGTGGTGTGCCGCGTGATTTTTTTTCATGAAACAAGTGTGCCTTTGCCCAAAAAAGGTTGAAAAACACTGGTATAGGATGCCCTTTGCACATTGCTATTGTTGTTGTCATCCATCGATTGCATCTGGGGTGCTGCGGAGGAGCTCAAGCAATGAGGACAGACTCTGCCCCAAGGAGGTTACACAGTCTGAATATTGGCAGCAATGCCGGGAATGGCAATGGGGGGGGGGCAGGAAGAGGCAAGAGTCGTGAGCAGGGGGGTGGGATGCCGTTGGGAGTTTCATTTTAGGTCGTGGATGAGAGCAGAAGGGAGACGGCCGAGGTTCATAGAATCATAGAATTGTAGAGTTGAAAGAGGCCCTGAGAGTCACCCTGTCCAACCCTTTATTTATTCATTGAATCCAGTCAAAGCTCAGTTGTCAAATGCAATCCATTCCGGAAGACCGTTCGGCTTCCAAAACGTTCGACAACCGAGGCACGGCTTCCGATTGGTTGCAAGAGCTTCTTGCACTCAAGTGGAAGCTACGTCGGACGTTTGGGTTCTGAAAAACATTCAAAAACCAGGGTATTTGCTTCCGGGTTTTTGGCATTCATGAGCCAAAATGTACGATAACGGAGGCTTTCGGAAACTGAGGTTTGACTGTAGCTATTTAGCTGCATTTCTAGCCCTCCATTCATCAGAATATGAACACAAGGTGGGCTGCAATTAAAAAAACACCATTGATACAATAAAAACCATCAAAACCAGTATCACAATGTGTAAAACCAGACATTGCTCCATAGATGTTCTCTTCAGCGTGGACCCCTACAAAGGCCTGGGTGAACAGGGGCGTCTTCAGCAATCCTGGTGCTTGCCATATATTGGGAGAGGGAGAGGAAGGGCGTCTGCAGCTGGAGTGCCACCACATCAAAGACCCCGTCCCTGCCCGCAGCACAGTGCGCCTGCCCCTTTGGCGGGGCCAGAAGAAGGGCCTCCCCTGCAGATGTGAGCCCAGGGTCAGACGGGTCTCGGGAGAGTCGCTCCTCCGGGTACCTGGGTCCCAAGTTGCTCAGGGCTCTGAGCACCCACGTCCTCTCCCTGAAGTGGACCTGGGGATGTGCAGTGCCAGGGCAGAGCCTTGTGGCACTGCTGGGAGAGAGGGCAACATGGAGGGGTAGTGAAGGAGAACCGAGAGATGCTCTTGAGAGCAGGAGGGGCTTGGGTGGTGACAGAATCGAAGGAGGCAGGAGGCAGTGGGGCCAGGAAGGTAAGATGGAGAGAGGCTGCTCAGAGCTCCAGGGGCAAGGGCAGCCCACCCCCGCCCTGATTTTTGGCAGGGCAGAAGGACCCCTGTCTGGGTGGACTTGAGTGTGTGTGTTGCATAAAGGGGGAACTGGTTGCAGGAGAGCCTGCTGCGTTTTGCCACTAGAGGTCAGGGCTGTGCTGTGGCACAAGGGACTTGGCTGCCCAGGGTCCCGCACGGTCTCTCCATCTGGACTGGACGTGTTTTCGCACTGACTTTGACCTCTGAGAATGCCGTTAGATTTCGGGCAGACTTCCAGGCGGAGTTTGGGAACGCTTAAGTCCTCTTTGACTTCGGTGGGACTCCAGCGTGTGGAACAGCTAAAGATTTGTCTTCATTAGTACCTTGCAGTGAAAGCTCTCTTCCCCCCTTCCACACCACCCACCCACCCACCCTGGGTGATTTTGCCCTGATCTTGTGGCTGTCGGTTATTTCTGTGGGTTTGCAGGAACCCGCTTGCACCCACCCACATGCTATCAAAAGCTGCTTCATTCTCCTCATATGAGAACATTTTACTGTGACGATCCTGGTGCGATGAAGGCGTCAGTGGGGTTCCAAGGCCTGCAAAACCTCTAGTCTGTTCAAAGATGCTCATTTTGCCTTTGTAGTCCTCACACTTTACTCCGCCTGCCCGGTTCCAGGGGCAGCACTTTGATCAACAGGAGGAGAGATTTGCTCCTGCCTCTGACCCCTTGAGGGTTTTATGCTGTGTGGTTGCAAGGGACTGCTTGGTCTTCTTGCCTCCAAGCTGCGCCATCTCCTCTGGCTGTGGCTGAATGACACCTGCTCCCTTTGCATGGGGAATCCTTTGGCTCCCTTGCCCTGGGAGGGCTGCTGGGATTGCAGCCGGCCCTCCTTGCTTCTGGTCATGCCCACTCTGTTCCCATTTTGGAGAGCCGGGCATCAGGGAGGGAGGGAGGGCCCTGTGTGGAATGGGGTGGTCAGCAGTGGAGTCCTGGACCCTCAAGGCCCCTTGCAACCATGGGATTCCTGCGGGCACAGCTTTAAGTCTCTCCCTCCCACCGCCCTCCCCCTGTAGAGCATCCTAAAGTGCAGCGCTGCAGCCAGCTGTTTCAGATGTGAGTGAAGAGTGGGGCTTGCCCCCTTCGGCTCCCTCCAAGCTGGGCTTTTGAAGACTGTCTCTGCATCCTAATCCCCTTCCAGTCACATCTATATAGACTCTGTCAGTGCACACATGCACATTTGAGGCTGGTGGATTTTCCTTTCTGTCATGGATATGGTGTTATCTAACGAGAAAATCCCTGCTCCCTTTCAGGCTGTCAGTTGAGCTGCAGAGCTCAATGGCATGTTTCTCCTCCATTAAAAAACGAAAGAAGGAAAGTCATGAAATTTCCCACCCCCACAGCTCCTTGCAGGCTTGTCCTGCCCCAACGCCCCCTTGTCCTGGGCTTCCTACAGATTAAAACATTAGGATTACGAACTAATTTGGGGAAATGGGAGGAGGGGGGAGGGCCTTGTCCTGCCAGGTTGCCCCCCCCCCCCGGTCAGGCTGAGCCTTTGAGGTAATCCTGATCTGAGCATCTTGGCGGAATACATTTTGCAGACGGCGTCAATCAACTGCGCGCAATTCAGATTTCCCAGGGTGCTGCGGGAAGAATGCTTCCATGGATTTCTGGGGTCCAGATGTGGGAGGCTTTTACTGACATGGGATGAAAAGGGGAACACATCCAAAAGCAAAGTAACTCTTGGTCCTTAATGCATCCGGTGACAGCTGCCACATGGCTGCCGGGCCATCCTCAAGGCAGCTGCCTGTAAACCGATCAGTCTGGCAAAGGCGCTGGGCTTAGGAGGATGATTTGTGGAAGGAGGCGCCATTGATGCAACGGCACAGCCTCCCGGGCGGGTTAGAAATGGAAGGTAAATGCAGGAGTTGGTTGCGTGGCGTTCAGGGCACAAGCATCCGTTCTGAAATAAGATGGCGGCAGGACTTAATTTCCCCAACTGTTTGTGCTTTTTAGGCCCAGCAGCAAAGGAACCTGGGCAACGTTGTGTCTCAGCCCTCGAAAGCTGGTGGTCGGCGGTTCAAGAAGGATGCTTCTGCAGGATCGGAGCCAGAGGTCAAAAGCACGAGCCCAACGTCCGAGCAGGATTCTGGGATCTTGGATGTCGAAGACGAAGAGGAGGATGAGGAGGCAAGTGCCTGCCAAGCGGAGATGGGGTTGCCACGTGGCTCGCCTGGGGAGGAGAGAAGCCATCCCCTCGGACTTGGGGTGTGTGGGCCCCCGGGGTGCGCCTTGGGTGGCTGTCAGTGCCAGGCTGATAAACCGGCTCTTTGTGCCCCCTGGACATTCAAGGTTTATTGGTGAGCACTTTGGTTCCAAGAGGGAAGCAGGCCCTTCCTTCTCTCCCTGCCCCCCCCATGTCAGTTGCCCCCTGTTCCTGTTGCAGCCTGACAGCTGCAATCTCTCAGACAGCCAGAAGATGGCTGGGGGGACTCCCCTTCCAGGGCAAAGGAAGACCCTTCTCTTTCCAGAGTCAACCCATGGTATTTGGTATTTTTTGAAGAAAATGAATGGAAAACCAAGGGATCTATACATATGTGCTTGTCCAGAGTGTAAAACTTAAGTCTCCGTAAAGTTACCCTGCTTTTAAAAATCTGTTCTCTGTACCGAGCCTCAGTTTCCAGGTTGCTGCAGAGCTGAGGTGCCTCACCCAGAGCCCTGTACAGATAAGGATAGACCCCACGGCGGGGTAGAGAGCTAGGTCTGGCTGGTGGGACAGATCCTTCCCTACCCCTTGCAGGCCAACTCCGAAAAGCAGATGGGAACCCTCACAGGTCAGTCCCCTGATGTCACAGAGGCACCAGATGATTGGCACCTGCCATCGTTCAGCGGAAGTCTCACGGACAGCTGATTAGTGGTTACAGCAGCCTCCTTTGAAGATGCACTTTCTGTAGCAGCCAGCTGATTGGTGCCTTCAAAGAGGGTTGTTGTAATTCTACAGGGAGCCTCCCCCCACCCCTGCTGAAGGGTCTGCTGAGGGGAAAGTGCTCCTGAAAAGAGGACAGCTTCTCCCCTCTTCAGAAAACTGGTTTGGATTCAAAGCATTTTCTCCAGCAGGGGAGGGAGGAGGAGGAGGAAGAGAGGCATAGGGATGGATTGGCTGTGGTGCAGCGAATCTAGGAGGAATCAATTGCCAGGTGGAGAAAGGTCTGACTGAGACTGGACAGCAGTGGAAATGTGTGGGTGCTGTTGCATTTGAGGAAGGCAGAGCCATGCGGCCACTGGGAAGCCATTAGTCAGAAGAACCGCCACTTGACCCATTGCAGGAGGCATCTCAGGGGGTTGAACTAGATGTCCCAACCCTACAATTCCATGATTCTGTTTTATGACCCAAAAGAGAGACACTGTCTCAGAGTGCCACCCGCGAAGGAGGTGGTTTAATGCCTGCCTGCAGCTCTCAAGCACTGGGGAGCTGCCTTGTACCAAGCTAAAGGTAAAGGTAAAGGGACCCCTGACCATTAGGTCCAGTCGTGACTGACTCTGGGGTTGCACGTTCATCTCGCTTTATTGGCCGAGGGAGCCGGCGTACAGCATGTGGCCAGCATGACTGAGCTGCTTCTGGTGAACCAGAGCAGTGCACGGAAACGCCGTTTACCTTCCGCCGGAGCGGTACCTATTGATCTACTTGCACTTTGACGTGCTTTCAAACTGCTAGGTTGTCAGGAGCAGGGACCGAGCAACGGGAGCTCACCCCATCACGGGGATTTGAACCGCCGACCTCCTGATGGGCAAGCCAAAGAGGCTCAGTGGTTGAGACCACGTCGCCACCCACGTTCCCTGTACCAAGCTAGCCTGGTGCTTTTGGCTACAACCCCCGCCAGTTGACCTCATCTGATGTTTCAGATTTCAGGAGTTGTGTGTGGAAGGCAGCAGGTTGCAAAGGCTGGTCTAGCTCAGCTGGCATAGCGGCCTGGGGCCTTAGGCAGAGAGGAGTCCTTTTGCTGCCTCCCCCCCCCCCCCCCGAGATCCTGAGACTGGGCTTGGGACCTTCTGCAGGCAACCACTGAGCTTCACCCTTTACCCTCAGCAAGGGTGCCACCCTTGGAAGCACAAGAAGATGCCCGGGCATTGCCTGCTGTGACTGGCTGTGGTTTTCTGGGTCTCAGGCAGAGAAAAGCCTTTTGCATTGCCTGCTCCCTGACCCTTGTGAAACTGGAGGGGCCAGGAATATATGTATGCAACACGCACTCTCTCTTCTGCTGAGCCCCAACCCTTCCCCAAAGCGCTCGGCCATCGAAGGGGGTATGCAGCGTGAGTTTAGAATAATGCGAGGCCATAAAAGGCAAACTCCCAAGCTCTAATTGCTTCAGCAGCAGTGTCAGAGGGCAGCTACACTTCCGCCTTTCTCCAGCCACCTTCATGAGCAGATGACCTTTACTATTGACATCACTGAGTTTTTAAAATTGGCATTCCACCTTTCCTCCCACCACGAATCCATAGCAGCGCCCATGTGGCTCCCAACGGGTCCTTCCCTTCAGGCGTTGACCAGACCTGGAGAGGTGGTGGCCTCATCCTGTGCCTTCGGTCAGGGCTTGGGGGGGGGAGCTGGGGCAGGGGCGGAGAGGGTGCTGCTCCTGATCTCTGACCGTCCTCACTCACCTGAGAGGAGGGCTCTCACTAAGGACCTGAGAAGGACCCAGCTGTGCACAAGTGAGACTCCGTTCAGGAACTGGCAGTGGGTGCTGTCCTTGGTGATGAAACTGACATTGGAGCAGGGGGTGCCGAAAGGGTGCGTCAGCAAGGGAGGAAGTTCTTTGGGGAGCAGGAGCCTTTCTTCCTGCCTGTCAGAATTAAGTTTGGGAAGTGTTGTGCCAATGGGCAAGGGCCGGAGCCCATTGGGAGAACACATGCCCACGTTCAGCCCTTGGCACTTCCAGGTAGGTCTCTGGCGGTGGAGGCGAAGAGACAGAATCCTTCCTCATGACCTCCTGGGAGCTGCTGCGCTGACCAAACTTGGCTAATAATAATAATAATAATAATAATAATAATAATAATAATAATAATTTATTTATACCCCGCCCATCTGGCTGGGTTTCCTTAGCCACTCTGGGTGGGTCGCAACAAAATACTAATACTAATACTAATACTAATACTAATACTAATACTAATACTAATACTAATAATTTATTTATACCCCACCCATCTGGCTGGGTTTCCCATCTGGCTGGGTTTCCTTAGCCACTCTGGGTGGCTCCCAACAGAATAAGAAGAAAAAGAAGAAGAGATAAAACATGAAACATTAAAAGCTTCCCTAAACAGGGCTGCCTTCAGATGTCTTCTAAAAGTCTGGTAGTTTTTCTTCTCTTTGACATCTGGTGGGAGGGTGTTCCACAGGGCGGGCGCCACCACTGAGAAGGCCCTCTGCCTGGTTCCCTGTAGCTTTGCTTCTCACAGTGAGGGAACCACCAGAAGGCCCTCGGAGTTGGCAGAACGATGGGGGTGGAGACGCTCCTTCAGGTTTGCTTTTGCCGGCATTTAATTTCTCCAAGGGTCAGTCCTTGTGGAATGACATCCCCTGAGTTTGCTTTGCCTCCCGGTTTCCCCCACCTTGTCCTGTCCCTCTCCAACTGGAGGTTGAGGTGAGTGGCGAGAAGTTTAATAATCCCTGACAATCCATGGGGCTTTTGGCACACAGGTCTCTTTCCGGATAGGTGATAATGTAACCAGCCTTAAGGTGGGCTTCCTATACCCCCCAGATAGAGGCATTTCTGGAGGACTTGTTTTGTGACCCCTCTGCCTCCCTCCTGACTTCCACCGCAGCTTCTCACCTCCTCTTTCTCCCCACCACTCAGCCTAGCACATGGCACCAGAAATGCATCCATGTTTCAGCTGACCTGTGTGCTTCTGTTCATATCGCCTTAGGTGCCCGGTGCCCAGGATTTGGTGGACTTCTCCCCCGTCTACCGCTGTCTGCACATCTATTCAGTCTTGGTAAGTGATCTGCCATCTCTCCTCCACCTGTTATAGGAAAAATGTCAAAAGGTGGTCTGGAATCTTTGAGATTACCAGCCCCCTCTCTCTTGTAGATTTTTTTGGTGCATAAAACATTACTTTTTTTCCTGACAAAGGGTGATTTGGAAGGTATTGGGGGGGAGGGTTTCCAGAATTTTAATTTTAGTTTTGGTAAAGCCAAATCACCTTTGGTTCGCTCTGTTTCTGGGATCGCATAAGAACAGAAATTCTCCAGGAATTTGTGTAATCCTCTTTTAAATCCATCCAGGTTGGTGGCCATCACTGCCTCCTGTGGGAGCCAGTTCCATAGATTAACTATGATCTCTATGGGGGGGAAAGGGTCTTTTCTTTTTTGGTCTGTCCTGAATCTTCCAACGTTCAGCTTGGTCGGATGTTCATGAGTCCTACTGTTATCTCTGCCCGCTCTCTCCATGGCACATATAATTTTGTACACTCTTATCATGTCTCCTCTGACGTGACTTTTTATCATGGATATAGAATTACAGATTTAGAAGGCACCATGAGGATCATCTAGTCCAACTTCCTGCAATGCAGAATCTTTTCAACGAATGTGGGGTTCGAACCCACAACCTTGGGAGTCTCATCTTCTACTGGTTGAGCTATCTCTTGGGACCTTAGTTTAGAGAAAAGTCCCAAATGCTATAACCTTTCCTCATAGGGGAGGTTCTCCACCCCACTGACCATTTTGGTTCCCCTTTTCTGAACCTTTTCCAAGTCCTCTTCAAGAGATGCAGCCAGAACTATACACAGAATTCCAAATGCAGCCGCACCATAGATTTGCAGAGCAATATTATTGCTCTCCTGGGCCCCTGCACTCTCAGTGCCTAGTTCTCCAACTCCCCCATTCAAATTTTCATATTTTTTTCAATTCCATCCCAAGATGTCTTCTGATCCAGACCCTCCACAACTCTTATCCCATCCACTCCTCACAATCAAGTCTAAAAGCTGTTCTGCCACCTTTTGGATTTTAAGCGCCAACGGTCTGGTTCCGTCCTGGTTCAGGTGGAGCCTGTCCCTTATGCACAGGCCTTCCTTGCCCCAGAAACAAATCCAGACCCGCCCCCTCCCTTCCTGACGCCATCGTCTTATCCATGCATTGAGACTCCACACCTCCCGTGTCTGCCTGGCTCTGCACACAGACCCAGTGGCATTTCAGAGGAAGCTACCTTGGAGCACCCGGCTTTCAGGATCCTACCCGGCAACCTCAGTCTGGCTTCCAGGAACTCTAGAGTACATTTCCCCATGTCCTTGGTACCAGTGTGCAGCAGGACCACTGTCTTTTCCACAGCAGTATCTACCAGGCTATCTAAGCAACGAGCGACACCCACAGTCTTCCTGCCAGGCAGCAAATTCACCCTGCAGCCTGTGTGCCCATCACACACCCAACTATCTTATCCGCCTTAAAAATCACCCACTGCCGGGACCCCTCCAAGTATCCTCTTCACGAGAGCATGTCTGCTTGTCCTTGGGGAAGGGGTCCCATCCGAGGGATTGCCCCCCTCTTCCTCAGAGTCATGCTTCTGGGAGAAGTAGCCATTGCCTTTTTGCCTCCTGTCATAAAGTCCCTGCTGTGTTATAGCAAACATGCTGATTACCGTCCTGCATTCCTGCCGGGAGGCAGACATGGCTGCGTCTGACACATTCTTCAAAGGCAAGTCTGACTCACCCAGCATAGTTTAGGCCAAACAACCTCTCAAGACCCATTGAAACTTTTACGGCAAGACTGTAGAGGAGTCGCTCCGGAGTTTTAAAGCCTCTTCTTGTGAGGAGGAAGGGGGGGGGGTTGGAACTCGGGCTCAAGTCGGTTGCTGTTGTGCCCCATCCCCAAGCAGTAGCAATCGTAACAGGGAAATGACCGAAATTGTACAGGGGCTAAATGTTAACGTTCGATATACAGTGGTGCCTCGCAAGATGAAAAGAATCCGTTCCGCGATTCTTTTCGTCTTGCGGTTTTTTCGTCTTGCGAAGCAACCCCATTAGCGGCTAAGCGGATTAGCACTATTAGCGATTTAGCGCTATTAGCGGCTTAGCGGTCTTAGCGGCTAAGCTGTTAAAAGGCTATTAGCGGCTTAGCGGCTTTAAAAAAAGGGGGGGGAAAGCGAGAAAAAAATGGCGAGACTCGCAAGACGTTTTCGTCTTGCGAAGCAAGCCCATAGGGAAATTCGTCTTGCGAAGCGCCTCCGCAACGTCTTGCGAGGCATTCGTCTTCGGGGCACCACTGTAGTCTTTCTGTCTAAGGGATGGGGGATCTGGGTGGATTCTCCTTCACCAAGTGGCAACCTGAAGACCCTTCACTGGCCAGAGGGATCCCCCACCCCCGACACAGGATGCTGTGCCTGTTCAGAAATGACACTCGTGGGCCATGGCTTTCCTCCCTGGGGTATTGTGCTTCTGTTAAGATTGTGGTGTGGTGCATTTTTCCTCCAGGGTGCTAATGTTGCTGCTCCTAGGGACTTTTCTGACTTTCTGCTCGAGGGCTCCTCTTTTAATCCTGTGAAAGGTAAAGGTAAAGGACCCCTGGACGGTTAAGGCCAGTCAAAGGTGACTATGGGGTTGCGGCTCTCACCTCGCTTTCAGGCTGAGGTAGCCAGCGTTTGTCCACAGGCAGCTTTATGGGTCATGTGACCAGCGGGACTAAACTGCTTCTGGGGCAACGGGACACCGTGATGGAAACCAGAGCGCATGGAAATGCCGTTTACCTTCCCGTCACAGCAGTACCTATTTATCTACTTGCACTGGCATGTTTTTGAACTGCTAGGTTGTCAGGAGCTGGGACAGAGCAATGAGAGCTAACTCTGCCACAGGGATTCGAACCGCCAACTTTCTGATCGGCAAGTCCAAGAGGCTCAGTGGTTTAGACCACAGTAAGGCTGTGTCACTCTTGCGGTTTGAGCAGGTGAAGGTGTGTCTCGCAGGTGCCAAAGTTCCTGAGCATCTCTGTTAATGTCCTGAAGCCTTAAGCCCTGGGCCAGAGGTGGAACTCTGAGCTGAATCCAAGTTCCTCTTTGTTCCTTCCATGTGATCTCAAAGTGCACAGTCTAGTAGCTTGCCCACTGTGGAATACAGGACCACAGAGGTTTTTCTGCATGTGTTTCTAGAGACCGACTAATGGGTACATCTCTCTGTTTGGGGGTGCTCCCTTGGGACACAGCCTCTAAAGAATGGATGTCAAGAATGCACAAATCTGCTTTCAGCCAAAAGGCAGAGAACCAAAGGGGTCCTTCCCCACGGCGTGTGTCGCACAGCAATTGAGCCTGGCCTGAGAATGACCTGGGAGGGCAGCTGTCCACTTCCCTTGACCTGTGGCTCATTCCTGAACAGCTTTCGAGGCTGTGCTCTCAGAGTGTGCGGTCTCAGCGGCCAGGCAGGCACCAGGGAAAATGTTCACATCGGCTCCGGCCGGAAGGATCATAACGTAACAGTTCTAAGAAATGCAAATATTTGTCATTTACAATAGCGTTATCTAAGTGCTTAGCCTGCAGTTGAAAAGGCCCACTTTGAATAAATACTGCGATATTTATTATTTTTAGTGAACCCGACCTTCCTGTCACCTCACTTTTATGGCTGAGCAGCTTGTAAGTTCCCAAAGGATTATTTGAAAAAGAAAAAAAACCCCTGCTTCTATCTGCCAGTCCTCCTTATCAGCAGGGTAGGAGTTCACGTATTGTAACACAAGGTCAGCGCTCGGTCATGGTCTTGGAGGCAGGGCCAGGCACCTGTAAATCCTTCCTCCTTCACCAGCGGAGGCAACGTACAATATCAAACAGGCATGGAGACTTTCCAGGAAGTGCTGAACTTTGGCAGGAAGGGCAGGCGGCGGGGGGGGGGGAGGGCAGAAGAAAACCAGGGTCAGGCTGTGGTGAACAGAGAGTGGACTCTCACATGACTGGGGACAGCAGACTCCAGCAAGGACTCTCGCTTTCTCTTCTGGTCGGTGCAGAATCTTTGCTCAGGATCTTCTCCGTCATTTTGTTGTTTAGTCATGTCCGACTCTTTGTGACCCCCTGGACCAGAGCACGCCAGGCACTCCTGTCTTCCACTGCCTCCCGCAGTTTGGTCAAACTCATGCTGGTAGCTTCGAGAACACTGTCCCACCATCTCGTCCTCCGTCGTCCCCTTCTCCTTGTGCCCTCCATCTTTCCCAGCATCAGGGTCTTTTCCAGGGAGTCTTCTCTTCTTAGGAGGTGGCCAAAGTCTTGGAGCCTCAGCTTCAGGATCTGTCTTTCCAGTGAGCACTCAGGGTCATAGGGAATCAAATCAACTAATGTGCCTTATCAATACCTACAAGCTGAGTGAGCGGCAGGGTGCTGGGCACCCCCAGGCAATAACTCACTCGCAGCAGCTTCCACGATGCTCCAGTTATACACGTGCACACAGGCTTCTAGCCTCCAGGCAGCTGTCCACAGGTCTACCCCCTGTGGGGCAGTTGCAGCTTATGCACCCTCATCTGACGGGGCACACACACACAACCTGAGATTCCACCTCTAGGAAAGCCATTTTTGCTCTTCAGGCCCCTCCTGGTACTGGAAGATGGTGGGGCGGGGAATGGTGGGGGGTCTGTTGGGCCATTCCTCACCTGCCCAGTCTCTTCTTCCTCTTGCATGCCTGCCTCCATCTTGGACTGCCCTGGCCCTTCCTCCTCCCCCTGCCCTGGCTCCTATCTTGCGGGTGGTGCCAAACACCATAAATGGTTGCCCCCACCCCTGGACTGCTCCTCTGGCCCCCTGCCTCTACCACACACTTTTCAGGGTCCCACCAGTCCGCAGCAGGCAAGTTTTGTCTCTCGTGAGCCTCAGAGCAGGGGGCTCCTTGGTCTGACAAAATGGGTGGCATGAGGATGCTTGTGTCGAAGACAGAGGACCAGACTTCCTCACGTTTTTGTAAGTCGTGGGCTATGGATGGCTCCTAGCCTGGGTGGATTTGCTCTGCCTCCATGGCTGGAGGCAGAGATGCTTCTG